TTCCTCCTCTCTCTCCCCCAGCTTCCCTTCTTTTTAAATTTTAGAGCTGGACAATAAAGGATGGAGGCAGCTCCTCGGATATCTGAGAGGGGGAGGACTCCGGGAGGAGGTCCTGGGAGGAGGGCGAGGAACCTGTTTTCTGGCGAACTGAAAGCTCCACAAAGGGGATCTGCCTCCCCTTCCCCTTCTTAGCCGAAAAGCCGATGAGGTGCTTTTTCGTTTTGCTTACGTTATCTTACTGTCGACTTGGGGCCAGGTGAGGGGCCCCTGTGTTCTGTGGGACGGAGGATGCAATGCAGGTTGCTGCCCTTGGGTTCGCCCCCACTCTCCCTGGCTCCCACACGCACTGTCCTTGCAGTGGGCAGGACAGGTCTCACCAAGGACCCCTAGCTCTGTGACAGATGATCTGAAGAGTAGAGCGAACCCCAGGGTTTTCACTGGAGAGGGACCGGGGACAGGCGGTCAGACGTCTGCTAGCCTCTCTGCACCCAGATCCCTCCGCACAGACGCGTTTTCTGCCCACTTGGTGGACGTGCGGTGTGGAGGGGCTGCCTGGCCTCGCTGTCACCTCCTCTTCCCGCTGCACCCCCTCTCGGGGGCTTTTCCTTTGTTGAGCTGGGTCCTGAGATGCCTCAATGCGGACACCTTGCTTTTTGGGTGGGACTTTGAGGAGTAGGGTCTGACATTGCAAGACTAGGGCTATTTATCCTCACCTATCACATGCCCACACCCGACACACTGTCTCTCATCCTCACGACCATCCTGGGCAGTGGGCGTCATGATTCCCATTTCACAGAAGGGGAAATAGGGCACAGAGTACTCAGTGATCTGTTCCGCGTGTCACAGAAAGTAGGGGGGATCTGAGGTCTGTGATACAGAGAAGCTCGTGGGGCAGCAGCTGAGGGGTCCTCAAGGGGGTCGTCCATGCAGAGAGACTCACGCTGACCAGAGGTCTCTGCTCAGGGTCTGAGGCCTGGCCTCTGAGGTTCAAGGCCCAGAAGGTTGAAGCCAGCTCCAGGTCTGCGGGCGCTGTGCCCAGGGCCAGAGCCAAGCCACAGTCTGTGCCTGTGACCAGGAAAGGGGCCCAGATCCCAGAGAAAAGCTAACAGAGTGGGAAGAGGAGGGCGCCTTCGGGATGTCCGCGGCCTCTGGAGGTTGCGAGCCTCAACTTCTGAATGTCTTTGCCCAGTGTCCCTGGTGTCCCCAGCCCTGATAGCTCACACGGTTACACTCCAGCCCACAGACTTTCCTTCCCTCTCGCCCCTGGAGCATGGCCGTACCCTGTCTCAGCCTTGGGGGTGGTCCCCATGTGGCACTGGCAGCTGTGCCCGCATGGACTGGTCCTCGGCGGAGTCCCCTGTTCCCCAGAACCTCAAAGGTGTACAGTAAGGTGCATGTTCTGTGACTTTGGGTGTGCAAGCTCTTCCCAAACCTCCCCTTGAACGCTCGAGACTGTCACACGCCCCACTATGCAGGGCAAACACTGGGCATCTGGCTGCCCTATAAATTTAGTAACTAAATGAGGGAAGGAAGATACAAAAAAGGAGCCCTCAAGGTACCCCAAGGCAGCACTCTTTCGGGATTTCCTGCACGTCAAGTCGAAGCTGGGCACGGGCTGCTGACTGAGACAGAGTACAGGGCGCGGAGGGGTTGCGACGCCAGGCCTGGCCGGGGTGGCCGCAGAGGCCGCCCAGCCGCCCTTTTGTCCTGTAGAGGGAGCTCCAGCCCCAAATTTCCTGGCTCCCTTCCCGGCCGGCTCGCCTGTCCGGCGGTGTGGAGCAGGAATCCCAGCGGAGGGAGGCCCAAAGCCCACCTACCCCCACACCGGGACCCCTCGAAGGCTCCTTCTAGGCCACCTGGGGATGACCCACGAGGGTGCCAAGACACACAGATGCCACCAGGACCCGGGCCCCCCAACTCTCAGTTTGGGGTGTACAGTCACCAAGAGGAAAGGTTGTGCACCCCTAGGCTCCCCGCTCCTCCATATGCCCCTACTCACTGCCACCCCACGTGCTTGCGTCTGCGTAAGGAGGAGTCTGGGGGTGTAAAGTGGCTGGAAAGCGGCTTGAAGCTGAGCTCACACAGCCCCTTACGTAAGACGGAGCAAGCCTCAGTGGTGCCTGTCTGTGAATGGGGGCGCGGGAGGGTGAGACCCTCCCAACCTACCCCTCTGCCGCCCGGCCCCTCTCTGTGTCTTTCCGCCATGTCACCCGAGGTCGTCCTTCCAGGGGACCGGTGGGCGGGGCCCAGTTTCCCCTCTCCGTGTAACGAGTCTCGCCCTGGTGGCCCACCTGTCACGGTTGCCCCTTCTCTCGGGCACCCCAGGAACTTCTCCAGCTGCCCCTTCTCCAGCGGTGCCCCGAGCCCAGCCGCTCCTGGTCCTTCCTCCTCCGCTGCTGCCGCCGCCGTCCTCCGGCCACCCGGTCCAGACCTGTGGCTCCTTCCGTTCCGCTGATTCGGGTGACTCTTCAAACACGGGAGGCAGGGATGGGGGAAGGGGGTGACAAAATAGAACAAAAACAGCAAACACTCCCCCTGGGGGCAGACAGGCGGGTTATGTAGTCAAAGTGGCAAGAGCTCATTTATTTAGACAAAAATAGATACTTTCTTGTACAATTCGGTTCACATATATATACATTTTTCTATATATATAAAAAAAAGTCGGACACACTTGTTCTCACTGCAACTCCACTCCCCCAAATCAACCAAACCAACCAACCTCACAGACTCAGCGAATGTGGGTACAGAAGCGACTTGGGGAGGACCGAGGGGCCTTGTTTAATTTCTTTTTATTATTATTATTTTTTTTTGTTTTCTCTTGTAGGTATTCATACACGGACATGCTTACAAGTCTTAACTATACAGAGGATTTTTTTTTTTTTTACAATTAATATAATGATTTTAAAAAATTCTTTTTTAACGAACTAGGATGAGGAGAGAGCTGATAAGACCAGTGCGGCGTCCAGGTGGTTCTGGGGCCTGCAAGAGAAAGGCAGTGGTAGCAGAGGACGTGAGACTGAGGGGCACGAGCGCTGCCTAGGACTGAAGACTCAACCCGGGGCTGAGGTAGGGACAGGGAGGTGTCGCAATGAAAAATGCTGTCAGCTGGAGAAGTTGGTCTTCCGGTTTAAATGGAAGATGGGCAGGAGGCGTCAGGACTCCAGGTCCGGGGCTGAAAGGAGGTGGGATCCCAGGCCTGCTGGCTCAGCAGGGCGCGGGGTCCCACAGAGCGGGAGCCTGGGCCGCATCTGGGTGCCCGGCCTGGGACAGGCCTGCAGAGCCGCCTCTGGGCCCTCCGGGACGACGGAAGAGTGTGTTTTGTCCCTTTTTAAAAGCGCTTCCCAGCTGCGATCCCCTGGGGGGGCGAAAGCTGCAGTTTGCTCTGGTTCTTTTCTCGGCAGCCTGCCTGGCCCCACTCCCACGCCCACCTCGGGGTCTCTTACCGCCTGGGCACGGGCTGGAAAGCTGTCTTGAGTAACTTTTTCTCCACTTCCAAGGCACTACAGCGATCTAAGGCAAGCGGGGAGAAAAAGCAGGGCCTTTAGACCGCTCCGTTCGGGCGCCCAGGGCCGCGGGAGGCAGGCGCCCCGTAGTAAGTGCCCTGCGCCCCATAGTAAGCGCCCTGCCCATCTCCGCCAGCCCCGCGGTGACCCCCGGAGCCCGCCCCCGCCCGCCTTCGCATCCTGCACTCAGCAGTCACCTGTTCCACCCTCGGGCTCCGCTGGCCTAGCGAAGGCTGCAGCGGCGGCCGGGTGGCCGGTGGTTGTGGGAAGGCCCAGCAGGTGTGGAGGGGCCGAGCCGAGCAGGGAGAGCGGGTGCGGGCGTGGGCCGGGCGGCGGGCCTGGGAACGGCCGGTTGGTCCAAGCGGGGAACTTGCCCAACGGCGAGGAGACGAGTCTGTGAGCCGCAGCGGCGGCGGCAGCGGCCGGGGAGAGCTGCAAGGCCGGGGGAGCGACGGCTGCCCCCGGGGGAGAGCCCCCGGAGCCCGCAGGCGAGCGGCGCGGGTTGTCCGGGCTCGTGGCCGTCTCCGCCAGGGACCAGATCTTGGGCTTCTGCAGGGCGGATGCGGGCGCTGGGGTGCGAGCAGCGCAGGGGTCCAGGCCTGCGGGGGGCGAAGGTGGAGACAGCGAAGCAGCGGTCACCGCTGGTGGCGGTGCAGGGGCCAGACTCAGGGCTGGCAGTGGACGCTCCTCCAAGCCCTCGGAGCCCTCATCCGAGTCGCTGTTCTTGGAGTCTGAAAGGGGTCCCAGGCTGAGGTCGTTGTCCCTGTGCGCCGTCCCGGCCAGGGCCAGCTCGGGCCCCGCGGCCGCACCGTCTAAGTTCTCCAAATCGATCTCCTCCTCGTCGTCGTCCGCCAGGCCCTCGCCCCCCGTGTCCTCCTCCTCCCCTCCCATCTCCTCCTCCTCCAGCTCCAGGTCCCGTTTGCTGTCCTCCTCGTCCTCCTCCTCGTCCTCCTCCTCGCGCTCGCTCCCGTAGGCATTGCCCTCCTCGTCGGTACGGCTGCGGGGCGCCCACGTCATCTTGTTCTCCTTCTTCAGGCGCCGGCGCGCGTTGGCGAACCAGGTGGACACCTGGGTGAGGGTCATCTTGGTGATGATGGCCAGCATGATCTTCTCGCCCTTGGTGGGGTAGGGGTTCTTGCGGTGCTCGTTGAGCCAGGCCTTGAGCGTGCTAGTGCTCTCCCGGGTGGCGTTCTTGGGACGGGACGGGTCCCCGAACTGGTACTGGCCATACGGGTAGAAGGCAGGGTGCGGGTGCGGGAACGCGGCGGCCGCGGCCGGATGCTGCACCCCGGGGCTGTCCTTCAGCTCATACTGCGCGCCCTGTACGCACACGGAGAAGGAAGGGACACGCGCGCGGAGGGAGCGTGAATGAGCCCCGGCCGTCGCCGCCTCCACCCTCCCGGCGCAGGCCCCGCTAGTCTACACCGGCGCGCTCACTTTATCCGGCACCCCAGCTCCAAATCCCCCTTTCCCGGCTCCCCGGGCGCTTACCAGCTGCGGGAAGATGGGCAGCTCAGCAGCGTAGGGCAGGAAAGCGCCGTAGCTTTGGGCGGCGGCGGCCGCAGCTGCCGCAGCGGCATAGGGCGCCCCGTACACCGACGAGAGCACATTGGACAGGGACCCCGAGGCGGCCAGCTCGGAGGCCCCGGCTCCCGGGCCGCCCCGGGCCCCAGCGCTGCCACCGCCAGCGACGGCGCCCGGG